TCTGAGTTCTTTCCTTAAGTGTGAGTGGAAAACTTGACATTTTTCTTTAATAGGACACATTCTTGTTATTATAGTCACTTGAGCCACTTGCCAGAAAAATTTAATGAAACCCTTAATATGAGCACAGAGCTTATTTCTTTAAGAGCACAACACATCAAAGTGAATAAATATAGCCTGACTGTCTTCACTTGTTTAACACTTAACTTATTGTATTTCATTCACCGAAATATCCATGAATTGGATAAATACAAGCATGAACTACAGAGAGGAACACAAAGACAAGCATTGCACTAACTACTGAGCACTTACAAGACTTTTCCTGTTCCTATTTCAAGAGATTGCTGTGTTGTCATGAAGCACAATGAAGCTATATTAGCTGCTATATCCTCACACATCATTGTTTACACATCAGTTTAAGTTTGAGGTGATTTTTTAAAGTTATCGAGTTTGTTTTCTATGTTATTCGTTATTTATTGCTAGTTTGAGTTTCTAATTGCTGTTTTAGTTTATGTATTGAAAGTCTACTATTTCATATATACTATTAATACTAGTTTTTCTAACATTAAGTATTTTGTTCCTGTCTTATCTATATTCTAGTAATGAGTCTTAGTCCAATGCTGGTTTCTTAGTTCTACATTTTGGCAAATCCAACACTGAACCAGTTTGACGAAACTTAGCAAGCAGTTTGCTAACTGTAGCATGGGAGATGGGTGGTCTCGTAGGGTGTCTTGCATTGAAATCTGCTGCAATTACCCGGTTACTGCGTTCACCAGATATCAACACAATTTCGATCCGCTCCTCACGTGTTAACCTCTTCGACATGTCAATGGCTGTGAACAAAGAGAAACTTGTAAATAACTCATGAAAGAATAAAGTTACGTTGAAACCAAGCACACCATTGTTTTTCTTGTGACATTACCAATAAGTTTGATGTGTCACATGGCCCTCTTCCTATTGAAAAACAAGTTGTATCCAAGATGGCCGACTTCTAAATGGCCACCATGGTCACCACCCATCTTGAGAGTTTGCCCCCTCACATATACTAATGTGCCACAAACAGGACTTTAATATCACCAACCATTCTAACTTTGCTAGTTTTGAAGTCCAGTTATTGGAGATGACTGCTTCCACGACCACTTTATGTGTGTTGGTCTATCGACCGCCCAAATATAACAAGTGTTTTATTTCGGACTTTCCCGACTTCTTGGGTTCCGTTCTTTTTAAATATGATTCTGTTCTTATTCTTGGTGATTTTAACATACACATCTGTTGTAAGGATGACCTGCTTGCTAAAGACTTTCTTGCTTTAATGGACTCTTTTAACCTCCTTTAATGGGTAAATGAACCAACCCACGTTAAAGGCCATATTTTGGACTTGGTCTTTACGTATGGCCTGGATATTTGTATTAAGGATATAAATGACGCTGGGATTTCAGATCATTTTCTAATTTCCTTTGATATTGGCTTATCTGCCGCTGGACTGCAGCCTGGAGCTCTTTCTCGTCCGCTACGCGTACTCAGCTCTGAAGCTGTGTCAAAGTTTGCTGTGTCTTTTTTAGATTTGGCGCCTATAATTCCTGACTGCTGCTCAGTTCGCTCATCTGATGGTTATGCTGATACTTTGCTATCATTATTTTCATCTACCTCTGATTTGGCTGTACCTGACGACTGTTCTCTCTGTTCGGTTGATGGTTGTGCTAATATCCTGTTATCTGTTTGTTCTTTTATTCTTGATTCTGTTGCTCTCATCAAAATGAAGCACCCTAGAGCCTACTCTCGTTGCTGGCTAAATGATACTACACGTGCCTTATGACGTGTCTGTCGCCGTGATGAGAGGAGGTGGAAAAAAGATAAACTTCAGGTTTCTTATGATATGTTACGGACCAGCCGCTCACAGTTTCAAACTGCTGCTAGAATGGCTAAGGCATCTTTTCTTTCCAAAGTCATTTTGGCTAATGGTCACAACCCTCGTATGCTATTTAAAATTTTTAATTCTGTTGTTAATCCCTGTCCTGATATGCCTTTACTGTATTCACAAGCTCTTTGTGAGTGTTTTCAAATTCTTTTTTTAGATAAGGTTTCATCCCTTAAGCTTTCCTCTTCGTCTGCCTCTTATCCTGTCTTTTCCTCTGAGTGTAATTCAACTTTTCATCAATTTGAGCCAGCGTCGCTTTCGACTCTGAAGCAGCTGGTTGATCAACTGAAAAACACCAATGCTGTGTTTGATATTCTCCCATCACGCATTGTTAAGGGCTGCTTTGATGTGATTGGACCGAGCATTCTATTCTTAATGAATTTTTCTCTACTCTCTGGATCTGTCCCACTGGCCTTTGAGCATGCTGTAGTCCAGCCTATTCTGAAAAAAAAAGAATCTTGATTGTTACGATCTTTTGAACTATTGACCAATCTCTAAGCTTCCGTTTCTGTCCAAGATCCTGGAGCGACTAGTTCTTTCTCAGCTTCAGGCATACTTAGACGCGAACAACATTGCAGAGAAATTTCAGTCTGCCTTTAAGCCACGGCACAGCACTGAAACGGCCTTGCTTAGAGTTCTCAATGACCTATTTGTAAGCACTGACTCTGGACGCTCTGTGGTCCTGGTTTTTTTGGACCTTTCCTCTGCTTTTGATATGGTTGATCATAACATTCTTCTACTAAGACTTGAGCATACTGTGGGTATAAGAGGCACTGCCCTCAACTGGTTTAAATCTTATCTTGCTGACAGGTCTTTTTCGGTTAATTTGGGCAACTTCTCATCTTCCTCGGTACCTGTACACTGTGGTGTGCCTCAAGGATCTGTATTAGGCCCTATTCTCTTTTCGCTATATCTGCTCCCTCTTGGAGCAATTTTTGAGAAGT